TGCTGGCTGAATTTGCGGTGACTAGGTGCGTGTTGTGCGGCATAACCAATATCATTTCAGGGGAGTCCAACTCCTTGCTGGTCTTCGAGAGGGCTGAGGGAAAACTTGAAGAGGTCGCAATGTTTTTGGATTTTTTAAGGGCAGAGGGCTAGTAGGAGATTTAGTATTACTAGAACAGGGATTATTCTTACCCGAGTGAAGCGATGAATCATCCGAAATGCCCAAATCCGAGCCGCTTAGCGTGGACATACGAGTAAGGGGGGAGATACCGAGCTCTCCCCCTCTGGATTTAGGTTTGACCATCCAAAAGAACCCAAGAGGGTCCTTTAGATAGAGCAAATGGCGAAGTAAAATAGAGTAAAATTGAAGGTAAAAAGTTTTTTATATAGAAAATTCCGGTTTGAAAATGAATTTAATTATATCAATTATATCATATTTATTCATATGAATAAATGGTATTCAAGATATTCAAATGGTAATTGTATTTATTATTCATGAAATCTTTTCCTTTAACCACCATATCGATGTCATCATCGGTAGAGCCCTTAAAGTCTTAGGTTTTCTCAATCGTATTACGAAGCTCTTTAGTTCAATTAATTGTCTTCGGACTTTGTATTTCGCTCTTGTGCGATCTATTTTGGAATATGGGGTTGTTGTTTAGCATCCTTATCTGGCTACTGATCAATTGCGGCTTGAGCGTGTCCAGCATAAATTTTTGTCTTTTGTTGCACACAAACTTAAATTACCTCTATTGCAACATGATTACTCCCATATTAGCCGTATCCTTAATATCCCATCTTTATCATCCCGACGTAATGATGCTGACTAGTGACTCCCAATTTATAAACGCTCTCCTCAATAATTCTTTTGATGCTACTGATCTTCTCTCCCGTGTCTTATTTAAAGTTCCTTCATACACCACTCGAAATCCAACTCCTTTTTATACTCCTATTCATTCCACTTCTTATAGCCACAATCATCCAATGCAGAGAATGCTCTGATCGGCGAATCTAGTGTGACCTTTGTCGATTGTCAGTTATTAAATTTGTATTATTATTATCTTTATGTTATGTCTTTTTATATTGTTATCCTTTGTTTAAATGTACTATTAATTATTATGTCAACTATGTAACTTAAAACAGCCGATTGGCGTCAATACTTAAAGTAAAATAATAATAATCAATCTACTAACCGGCTGGTACAACAATAATAATACATTTTTGTTTTGTTAGTTGCACTACTATTATTATTATTATTATTATTTTTATTAAAATTTCGCCCCCCCCCCTCTGTACCCACAATCTTAGGCAACTACATATAAAATATTTTCTGTTGTTGTTGTTCATTGTTTATTTGTTTGGTCGTCTTATTGGTAGTGTTGACTGTCATTGCCTTGTCCCATATATAAATATTTTTTTTTCTCTCTTGTCGCACTCACAGCGCACTACTAAGATGACCGCAAAACATTTGTCCAAATGACAATGATCGACTCGCTTAGGGAATGTGCATAATTCACACTTACACGGATACACCAAAATTCAAATGTTTTGCAAATTGCAGCTAGTATTAAAAGGTTGTCGCAGTAAAAATGTGTTGCCCTCGTGTGTTTCACATAGTCTGCAGATTATATCTGTAACAACTGTGTAATAAGTGTGTAAGTCGAATTTTGGTTAAAATTGACTAAGTACGCTAGGATGTAGTCCGAAGCGCCTAGCACACTTTAAATAAATGTCTAACTCGTTGGACCAACAGGAAACCTTGAGAGAGATGTGAGTTCCTAATTATTACATGCTGATTTATGGCAACTGGTCAGTTTAAAATCGCTCCCCTGTAAATCACTGAATCGACTTACTTATTCATAGTTGTTACAGATATAAAAACCAGTACAGTGGGGTCGAGGCATAGTGGGGATAGAGCATAGTGAAGTCGGGACATAGTGGGGACGGGGAGGTCACAGGTAAACAGGAATTTTTAAATCGGAAAGTGATAAAATCACTTTCGAAAAAACGCTTCGATGCAAACCAGTAGTTAGTATTTTCAAGCCAGTACAGTCTAAACCAAGCACAGTGTAAGCCAGCAAAGTTAGAAAATATTAAATTGAGGTGCTGTATTTACAAATAAGCATCCAAGCGTTTATTTGAAAGTGATTTTATTCACTTTTATAATTTAGATTTATAACAATTCCTGTAGACCTGTAAACTCTCCGTCGCCTCGTTGCTTTGATTCCATTAAGCCTTTGTTCTACTGTACTAGTCCTCTCGGATAAAATCACTTACAAATTAACGCTTTGATGCTTATTTGTAAATACACCACCTCAATTGAATCAGTAATTTAAAAAACTTCAAAACTTCATAAATATGGCTTGAAAATACTAACTACCGATTTGCACCGAAACGTTTTTTCGAAAGTGATTTTATCACTTTCAGATTTAAAAAATCCTGTAGACCTGTGCTCTCCCCGTCTCCACCATGCTCTGTCCCCACTATGCTCCGACCCTACTGTGCTGGTTTTTTTTTTTGCAAAAACATAATAGCCTAAAGAACACATAATCAATGTCTTGTTAATTTTAGTTGGAATGGTCGATAATTCATGTTTCAATTGTTTGTACTCCATAATTTAAATTATAATCGCTTGTACTCAGTAAAAATAATATTTATGTATTATATATTTCCATTAGAGCAATCTCACACTAACTATTTATACTTCATAGATTATATTTTTTCACAGCTCCATCTGAGCGCCGGCTAAGTTCTAGCAATGCCAGTGTATCTTTACACGAACCAATTCACCCGATATTTTTAACTTTCATATCTCTGCTACTTCTTAAGATGGGCTTTTAAAATTTGAAACCTAAATTAAGCTTAAATAGTTTAGGACACTGTCTAAAATTGAGTCTGTTTGAGAATGTTCTTCTCTCGACATTATGTTCCTTGGGGTAAAATAAATTTGCGAAAACATTGATATATATATACCCTTAATAGTACCCTATAATATTTTTTACTTATTCCTTATTTAGTTGCAAAGAATTCCGATGTACTTACATAACACATTATTCTAACAATAGATCAGAAAAAAAATTAATTAAAAAAAAACAAAAAACAAGTTTTGAATTTACATATATTTTTTTTATTACTATTACCCTCGACAGCAAAGGTCATTATATTATTTATATATATAATAATATATTTATATAATAATATATATATATATATATATATATATATAATATAATAGCTGACCACTGTGCAATCATAATGCCAAAAGAGTGTATTATGAAATCTTTTTTTTTTGTTTTTATTTTTTTAATTAATAAAGAACTAGTACACGAGTTTTCCTCGTAGTTCGGTGGTTCAAATATCTCTTTGTGCATGTTTCCGAGATTATATATGACAAACTTGGTGCTGATATACAGGTACAAAATTTCAGATCTTCATATGAACTGCCTGTTGCAAGAAATCTAAGAGTTGCTATGAGCCTTTCTACTGGAATTATTGCCATTCTCATTACAGTTTTTTTTTTAGGTCCAATAAGGTCAAGTAATAATTTAAAATCCTGTGATTCCATTCTGAGATAGTTGTTACAATCATCTGGATTATTTTCTTCAAGTTCACAAAGTAGTAAAATATCACTGAAATTTCGATTTAATTTCCAGTCCTTAACCCATTTTGATATTATTTTGTGTCAACACACGAAAAGCTGCAAATGCAATTGCAATTTTTTTTCTTTTCAATTTATACATTTAATTAAAAAAGTAATAATAACAAAAAATGAAAAATAGTAATAATAAGAGTAAAATAAGTATGCGCACAGCATCGAGACACACAACATGACGTCGTCATGACGGAAGCGAAGACGCACCACGTCAGTCGCGCGGAAATGAACACGGTTTTTGCCTTTACACGGACACGCTTCCTTGTCAATTTTAACATAAATGGAAAGAACGCAGGATTGGTACGTGTTAACTTTTTTCAAGCACATTCTTGACCGTTGCACGTCAGTACTTCGGGTTTCGCCACACGCCCGCCGTACCATTCTAATCGCGCGAGACAAATGTGTTCGTCTAAAGGCTTCCTAAATAGACCTGTTCAAAAGACAGAAATGGGCGTCAATCTAATTATTTCGTTACTGCCGTAAACTGCATTACGGCGGAGGCCTATATTAATTGCACGAGGACATGGTATAAGTGTTCGGTATAATTCGGTTTAGCCTCGACAACGTTTGATGTGTATGGACATTTGATTACGAGCCATAATAATGCGGGTTCGAAGGTCCGACGCAGTTAAATGAATAACTCACGTCGAGAGGTAGAATATTATTATACTATAAGGTCAATAAGTTTAGATACTATCGTGAAACCTAGTATTTCCTTTGACACTGGTAGAAAATCGTGGGCCCTATGCAACAAAGTCACTCGATAAATTGTTAAATTTGCATATTACATTCAAGAGTAGGTGGAAGACCCACCCTTTTTTATTTAGTCAAACATTTTTTTAGGCTTTTCCCGGTTTCGAGGATGAAGAAGTTGACTTTTTCGACGTTTGACCCTCCAAAGTACTAATCGCATACGATTCCGGATCTAAAATGGTGCTACACAAGTAATTCGGTTCACATTAAAAAAAGTTATCCGTGTCTACAGACACAAAAATAAAACACTTATCATTTAAGAGTCAATACCTTCTCAGCTTCGCATCCAAGCTAAATTGGTCTTGTAAAACAAATAATATTTAATTCAATTTTTTTAACCGTTTTTTAGAAAAGCATGTTTTTAAAAAAATTAAATTTGTTTGTTTAAATAAGCGGGTTTATCACAATTTTAGTTATAATTATTTCTGAAGACTTATAACCTTGCCGCAAATCGTACAGGTATTCCTAGGTAGTGCGATAAAACCAACAGGGTATTAACTGAACAAAATGTTTATGTTTTGCGCAATACCGGAGGACTTTAATGAATTTTTACTTGAAAATATTTTATTTATAATTAAAAAATCGTCTTTTTTCAGGTATGAGATGATTTCTTGACGAATTCGCTATCCAGGACAGGTCGTCAGTCCGTCGCCGGAGAGAGGGTAGCCTGCCCGTTACCGAGTGTCGAACCAGGGCAGTCAGCGATAACATGGCCTCCTTACCCACTCGGCCACTCCACCTCCAGAAATCGTCTAGGAGAATGAAATGTTTTATTTCTAATCAAATGGTATGTGATTTTTTCGGTGGAAGTATATTGTCAAAATTATGATCGACGCCACTTGTATCTACATGGATACACCAAAATTCAAATGTTTTGCAAATTACAGCTAGTATTAAAAGGTTGTCTCAGTATAAATGTGTTTCACGTAGTCTGCAGAATATATAAAAACCCATGTGCCTTAGTTTAAAAAGAAGTTATTTATTTAATTACCCGGAGAAAGACATTTTTTAATTTCTCATTTTAAATTATTATATTATTCTGTCATTATATTTGTAATAAATACAAATAATACATTTTATTATAGTGCTTATTAAATAATTTGTTAAATACCTACTAACAAGCAGACGGCAGCTGTATTTAGACAATTCACACTAGACTATAGTGTACAATGGTCAATGAAGAAATAAATCAGGTTTTCTTTTATAAACATCAATCGGCAGAAGAAAAAAAATACACATATATTAAACTGTTATTTTACATTTTTGTTTGTTTTTGCTATGGATTACTTTCTGGCGAACATATTAGACGGATTTCAATTTGTTTTTCATGTGAAGCTTACTAATTACTCTACGGCACCCAAAGCCCGATATTATTTTAGATATTAGAAAATTAGTTTCTTAGAAGAAACTAGTAGAAGTAAAGTATAAACGCTTTTGATACAATTTTATTCACAAAAATAAAAAATTGGACTTTAAGCTCCCGTAGAGAAAATATTAAGTTTAAAACAAAATAAACAAAGTTTTGAAATCATTACGGTAAAAACTTAAAAAAGTGACTTCGCGTTTGAGTGTAATTGTATAAAATTTTGCGCTTTTCTTGCCGCTTCATAAATAGAGTTATTAGAATTATTTCTTAGGTTATAAAAATGTTAATCAGTGTTGAAAGTACTTAGAGTTGAGCCAAAGTTAAGGATCTAAAGTTGTATAGTCATCTTATTTTAATAGACTGATATCATTTGGGGAAGGGGTAAGTAAGGGGGATGCGGGGTATTATGTGGATAGACAGGATTTAAAAGAAAAATAATATTAAAATGATAAACCCTTAGATGTTAACGACTTACGAGTTTGACATCTCGTCCGTATACCACACTTAGTATTTTACAGGTACGATACAGATACCATTTATAACTGTTATTATAAATGATGTCAATTACTATTTATCTTAATTTTTTATGAAATGTTTACTTGAATCTTAATGTAAATCGACCACACAACACTATCATCCCAATAATAAGATGACAGTGCTGTACTAATGAAATCTCAATAATATTAGTGTGTATGTATGTATGTGAAGTAGACTGTAGTATGTAGTATCCATATTGATATGAAATTTAAAAAATATATATATTTCTGAGATGTCAAAACCACAGCTTATGTATATTACACGCATTGTGTGTTTGTCTCCGGCGACGGATAGCGAACATGTCAAGAAACCATCTCATGATGGCAGCTTTGGGCCCCTTCATAATCTGTTAAGGTACAAGATGATGATACACCTAATAGTCATCTAATAGTCTGCTGTCTATGGTAACACATATTCCAATAAGAGTTAGAACATGAAGACATAACGCATAATATGCATATTTATATAATTACCGCTGTTCATTTGACGCTCTTTAGTTTGCCTGGTGGTGACAGTTTAACACTTCCATATTATCGTCTCAATATTGTAGTGGATTAAGTTTTAAATACTTATACAATCAATAAAAATTAAGCGATTAGGCAAATTAACAAAAATGGAAAAGATAAGGTGTAAAATATTGTTTTTTTTAGTAATTACAAATCGTTAACTTGACTAGCTTTGCTTTATTTACAGGTGGCGTTTTTATTTATTTTTAATAATAATATTATTTTTCCTAATGATTGGTGTTACAAGTTCTTATCGTTTGGTTTTAATTTATTTTATATAATATACAATAACAACAATATACAGTATTTAAAAATATAGAAAACAGCATTATTTGATTTTCATCAGTGGCAAATAACAACAATATTACAATATTTAGTATTTAGGATTTGGTAAAGGGGTGTTCGGTTAAAATGATCAAGAACAAATATGTCATAAATTATTTTACTAACAAATTTTACATGTACGTATTCACATAATTTTGTACTAATTGTTATGTCAATATAAACAAATATATAATTTTTTTTATAGTTCGTTGACTTAAAATAAATGTTGTCAGTGATAAAAAACAGTATGATATGTTAACGTATGGTGTATTGTATATTATGTTAATCATATTAGAAATATATGTATAGTATTATTATAAGCTAAACATGAAAATTGTGAAAAAAAAAATATTTAAATTGTTTTATCGTATGGTAATTTGTAATGTAGTTCTACGATAAGTGTATTAACCTAATAAAATTATAAATGATTTAGCGACTGAACATTTTGACTTTTGTATTAATTTATTTATTGCCTAAAGACGTATTTTTCAAAAAATCACAAAATTATATTCCAACTCAGATGAGTCTTAAATTTGTCTTATTCATTCTAAATAATAAAAAAAATACTAATAATATCTTTAGTTCTTATTTTGAATGTTATAAATCATATTATCTTTCTCTCCCTCCAAAAAGATGAATAACTAAAATAATAAGAACTATTTTTTTGTTTAAATTAAAAATCAGTATTTCTCATCTAAAAATGTTGCCCTTATTAAGAAGTCTGTAATTATAAAGTCTACAAATTATTTTTACTTAAGTGTTTAAAATAATTAACTATAGATGATCGTTATTCTTTAGTATTGAATGACCATTAATGTTTAAGTCTGGTTACATGTAAGTACAAATTTAAAGATACTTGATGTAGGTAGTTAATAAAAGATTAGGGCGAAGTAAGAATTTGCAATTGTACACGAATGAGGTATAAATAATATAAATGTTAACAGATTAAACAGCATTACAAAGTTAAATGAAGAATATATATATATTTGTTGTTATTTATATAAACCAGTATTTATATTTACCAGTGACTTTTTTTTACTTAAACTTAACGTATAATTTACCAATACTATAGAATACTATAGGATACACTAAAGAGCTGATCATACCTTTTACCTTACTTTAATATTTTATTCGTTTATTTACTAAGATAGTTTATAAACACTTAAGGTACCTACAGAACGTTTTGCAAAGTATGACTTGTTGACATATTTTTAATAAAATTAATATTTTAAGTAAAGTGAACCTTATAATTCCGATTGATTCTTGTAAGTAAAATCTTTAAGCATTTCCATCTAAAGTAATTGGATAGGTACACTTTGATCTTGAACGGATATGATAATACAGTCATCGGAAGAGTTTTAATTATTTAGTACAAACAAATATGGCCGGAACACTTATAGAGAGCGTGTGTGCTCATTACTGGTGTTCAACTAAACCGAACAGTTTTAAACATTTTTAATTTATATTTAATATTATTAATTTGAATAAAATTATATACATTATGTTATATATTTAAATAATACGTATGCATACACATACATGTAATTTTATAATAATGATCATTGATCATACAAGGTGATTTTTTTTTGTTCTGTAGTTTTTTATACAATTTAATCTCAATTTTTATCAAACATAAGTTTTTACCCCCTTTCAAATTAACTATTTTATATCAAATTTTTTAAGATACCTAGAAACATACAATACATATTTTATTAGCTTCTTAAATTAAGAATAATATCCTGAAAATGTAGGCTGGTCGATAACCAGTTTTAAGTCTTTACTTTTATAATGTTAATAGAGTTTGAAAATTAGAACGGGCTAAACTTTGAAAGCTCGTATATGCACTGCCCGTTCCCAGTTAATAAGGTAAAATTACATGATAATTTTTTTCCTTTTATTTATTTTGTAGACAACAAAAATGTAGTAAGTATCGATTGTTTGTCAAAAGTTCAATTTTTTCGCATTTATAAAAAATTGTTTGTGTTTTAACATGAAATAAAAACAACAAAATATATTGAGCAAGTATTGTTATGGAATTAAAATAATTATAGGTAATAGATAGAAACAGATAAAATATATTTCTGAATAAAACAAATTTTAATTTGTTGGCCAAATTTCCACCCCCCCCCCCTAAAATCTACTTTTAACGACGTTTTTGGCCGATTCAGAAATCAATTTTTAAATAAAATTAAAATATATTTAGTTAAAAATATTTTTTATTATCGTGTTACGTAAATTGCATGTACATGTATTGTCCAATGAGAAAAAATAATAACAATTTATATAGCATAACAACAAGAAATAAAGTATGAAATATAGTTAAGAACTTTTAAAAACATAAGCCAAAAAACTATGCTTTAAAATTGGGAAACGAGCTGAACCTTCTAGGTGATCGATAACAGATAATAGATAACTATTTTTGAAGTTATTGAAGTTTCAAGTTCAGGGCAGGAGGAAGGTGGAGTGTAGTATTATTTTTATCTGCGCGAATTTCCCAACCGCACTTGCCCTCCTATCCTAACTTTTAAACTCGTATAACTTAAAAAATAGTTATCCGAAACTGGTTATCGACCAGTCAAAAATTTTAGTACATTATTATCAATTTAAAAAGTTAATAAAATATAATATACGATACCATTTAAATTTCAAAAGTTGCTATCAAAAAAACTAAGTTGGGAGTGGGGTAAAAACAAAAAAAATTGTGAAAAATTTAGATCACATTGTATAAAAACAATATGAAAAAAAAAGTTCAATTTCTTATTAAACCCTATGAGATATCGAGTGGTTCAAGATACACATATACATAGTCATTGATAACCGATTGCAAAAGCAAACTCGGAAAGTAGTATTACAGAACAAAAAAAATGCATCTTTCTGCATCCGTTGCTTGGTGACGACCGCTAGAAATTACATACCCCAATTGTTTATACTATACACATCTGAATTTATACTAATAATAGTTTATTATAACAGTGATAGTTTATTTGTGTTACTGGCCATTCAGTCGCGGCGCGGGGCCCTTAACAGCGCGGAGCCCACAGCCATAATACAGTATAATATAGAGTATGTCCACCAGGGCGCATATAGCGCTGTCGTTGTATGAGGTACCTATACACGGCCGACCGTAAGTTTATCGTAACATGTTACTTGTCCGGCGCAACTGAAAACATAGTCGCGCCGGCCTTTCGCGCGGCTATAGGTACCGTTTGATGATCAGTTATAACGTTGTTGTCCACGAGGAAGGAGAAAGGAAATTGTCTGGTTGCTGCCGTTTGCCGACTCTGTAAGTACCTATTACAAACATTTTTAATTATTTTAAACAAAATTTACTTAAATGAGTAGAAGAATTATTATTAGTTAAATGACGTCTAATGAGATAATTAGGATTTTTTTTCTGATCCATCGAAAAAAGTTTTAATGTTTTAATCTATTTATTAGGTAGGTATTATTTTATTTTCGAAAAAAAAATCAACAATTTTTTTTTACGTATCGAACTTGTGATTAAAGACATTTTTGATAATGATAGTACGTTTTTAATATTTTATTCGATTTTTAAAGTTAAATCCTCGTACGAGGATGTTAGGTAACGAAACGGTTAAGCACTCCCACATTTAGGTGTTTGCGGGTTTGTCAGGTACAAAAATCCCCAACATTATTTTTTAATACATTTTTTATCGAAACGTACCTACCTAATCTACACAATTTTTTTTACAAAGAAACATTAAAACGCGGAGTCACTTTCTAAAGTGTCTACCGAACCGATTTCAATAATTTGTTTTATTTGTTATATTTTTGTTTTAGGCCGATTTTTTATTTTTGTTTTAAAAAAAATATTTAAAAGCATTTTTATTTTTACTTTTTTATAGTTCTTTCTAATACATCTAACTAATTTTAATCGCTATATCAAAAATCGGCCTTTTAGCCCCCACAGAAAAAAATAGTAAGCTTCACATAAAAACAAAAAACTTGAAATCCGTCCAATAGAAAAACCAGAAAATGACTTTTATGAAAGTAATTTTTTATCAAACTTTCGTCATAACTCGGAGAAAAATACCTTTAAAAGTATTAAAATTAGAAAATTGTATTATATGTTCACCTTGAAATTAGTAGGCTTATGAAAAATAGCTATACATTTTTGTCAAATATTGCCTATCCTTTGCCTCTTAATAAATAGCGCTTTCCGTTCCCCTTAAAAATATAAATTTGTTATTTTTTTAAAAATTTTTCGTTACTCCGATAGTAATTTAGACGATAGATTTATGATTTATGTATGAACCTTATGAAATGAATAAACATTTAGCATTTAATCATCTTGAATATTATATTATTCTTTTATTTATAAACCTAAAAATTAATTTGTAATTTAAAAATGTTGGGTAGTTTTTAAGGAAATATTGATAAATCGATTGATTGGACCAAAATGTTAAAAAATTATAATAATAAGAACGATTTGTAAAGATTTATGTTTCATTATTTGTCGTCTATAAAAGTTGACCTTATCAATAAGTCTATACTTAAAGTATATTTTTATATTAAAGCTTTTCAAAGCTATATCTAAAAATTCAAAAATAGTTTTATAACATTGTTTTGTATTTGATCGATTTTAGTGAGAATAATGTAATCTGTAAAAATATAAAGTTAAACGCTAAACTAAAGCAACATATTGTTAAATAATATAATTTTAAATTATAATTTGTTGTTAAATTTTTAAAAAAATTTTACAATACAAAAAAAATAATGCAATTTTATCGTTATTATATAAATCCTGTACAGTAAAAATTAACTAGCTAAGAAATAGGCTTAATCTTGGAAGGCTTAATATAAACTAGCAAAATATTTCCAAATTCTTC